CAGGAAGGTAAGAACCAGCCTCTGACCATGGAGTGCCAGCCCCGTGCTTCTCTGAAAGGCAACCTTGATTTTAAAACTGCCTGGCTCTCATCACGGCGGAACACTGCCTAGGACAGTTCTGTGTTGAGGCTGGGTGCTCCTGGAACATTCCTAAGGGCTTCTGTAACTTTACAGTTCTGCCCCTGCTGAGTGGTCTCTGCCTGCTCAGGACCCAAGTGACCACCAGGCGGGGAGGCTGCGTGGCCATCGTCACTTAGGAGAGACAGACCTTCCCCCCGCCCCCTGCCATCCCGGGAGGATGGTCTGGCAGCCCACATGCCCTATGCCCCTCCAGGTCTCCATCCATGGTCAGTCTCCCTAGCTGCAAAGTACAAAATTCTTCTGGCTGAGTTAAACACAAAAGAAAAGTCATGACAAGAGCCTGGGCTGATCACAGAATCAACAGCAGAGTGGAGAACTCCAGAGCAGGGGGGCCGCTCAAACCACACCCCAGAGCAGGCCCCCTGAGAATCAACAGCTCACCACAGAGCGCCAGATGACTCTGCTCTCCCTGCTGACATCAGCACTGGACACCAACACTGGGCTGTGCTGTTGGTCTTGAGGTCTCTGCTTTCCCCAGAAATGGCTTGTGGCCACTACCCACTCCTGGAAGTTTCTCCTGAATCCTTGCTTCTCTGTTCCCAGATCCTGACTCCATGGCCAGAGCAGGAGCATTTAACAACCAATCCCAGATCAAGTACCTATACCTGGCTGCTAGGGGAGCAGGGAGAGCAGGTGTCTGCCCTTTAAGAAACTCAGTAAAGGGCCTCCCTGGTGGCACAGCGGTTGAGTGCTGGGTTGCGAAGCTGCCCACAGCCTCTGCAGCGCCAGTTCGATCCGCGGCCACCGGCGAGGGTCCCACATGGTGCGCAGACCTCCCCTGCCACCCGCTGCTCCCCTCAGCAGTGTACTTCGGTCCTTCTGCCTGTTCTGCTCCCCGCTCTGGCTCTTGTGAATTCTCTCAACCTCCCGTGCTTCTGACTGTACCCAGTGCTTGTATAAATAAATATATAAATCTTAAAAAAAAAAAAAAGAAACAGAAAAGAGAATTTCTCAAGCCGGGTAGACAGTGCAGCAGACAGAGGCAAGTCAAACATCACATGTGCCCTCTAGTTTGCTTCCCTCCCCAGACTACCAAAAATTAACATATGCACAATAGGGTGTTATCAAAGTGGCTTGGGGGCTCAGCAGGTAGTCACACAGGACATGGCGCATAATAGGTGCTGACCAACATCAGGCTCTTCTTGTGTGTGCAGATGAGTGAGTTCAAGGTAGGTGACCTATGGCTCAGCTAGTGAGCCATAGGTGACAGGGTCTGGCCTGGGTTTTGTGCTTCTGCTTTCAGCTTTTCCAAGGCACACAAGAGTGGGGATTATAAGCAAGTGTCCTATAAAGCACTGCAGAACAAGATTCATGCCACAGGAGAGCCCGGAAGGCAACTTGGCAGAGTAGATATTTGAGATGGGCCTTGAAAGAAGAGATGAATTTCATTGACTAGATAGGAGGACGTGCATTCCAGGCCAGGGCCTGAGCAAAGGTGTGGAGATGTGAAAGTGGCTTTTACAAGCACAGTCAGAGCTGGGCTTCCCAAATGCCCCCTGCCAGACCAGGAGACTGGACGAGCAGGGGAAAAAGCATGGTACAGAGAAAATGGCCAAGAGGCCTCTGAATTGCTCAGGCAGAGGCCAGGGATGCTAAGCTGAGGCAGTATCAGGGGAGGAAAAATTATTTGATACTCAGAAGCTTCTAGCCCAGAAGAAAAATTTCTAACCCACATGGGGAGGAGTAGAGGGGAAAAGAGAGAGGTGACTGGGCGAAGGGAGGTGAATTTGAGGTGCCCAAATGTGGTGGACACCCACACATGTGATGTGATCGGTACCAACAGTTGTTGAGAAAGCAAGAGGGTGGAAGATTGCTCTGCAGAGGTTCCCAAGGGTGATGTGGGGCGTGAATGGTGAGCTGTGTGGGCGAGGAGCACATCCCTGGGAACCAAGTTCTGACAACAGATGGCCGCTGGGCAACCTCCTGGCTGGAGAGGGCCTAGTTACCTGTGGCACTTTAGTTTTGCTGAATAAACTCTTCGGAGTTGAGACAATAGAGCAAAGGCTGAGGTGTTAGGGTTTTTGGGGTTTTTTTCCCCTTTCCTTCTGCCATGGAGTCCTCTGGTGATCTGATGTGAAGAGGGGAGAGGGAAGGGGAGAAGAGGAGATGGGGAGAGGAGGGGGAAGCATAGAACGAGGAGGTGGAATGGGAATGGGGGAGCAGAGAATAAAGAAAAAGAGAGGGGGAAGGAAGGAAAGGAAGGAGAGGATGAACAAAGGAGGAAAGGAAAACGTGATAAAAGCAATATTTTTGTTAAAATTTATTTATTTATGCATACAAGAACTGGGGTACAGGCCAGAGGTGTGGGGGTTGAGAGGATTCACCAGAGGGCAGAGTGGGGAGCAGAACAGGCAGATCTACTGAAATACACTGCTGAGGGGCACAAGAGGAGAGGTCTGCTGCGCCATGTGGGTATCTCCCTGCTCGGGGATCGAACTCAAGCCGCAGTGGCTGCTGATAGCTTCATAGTGCTGGGACCTAACCTCTGACGCCACCAGGGAGGCCCCAATACAAACAATATTTAAAGATGATTGACACCAAAATAAGAGATAAACCAAAGAAGGGGAAGTCCTGGGGAGCAGGGAACAAGAGATCCAAGCTGACAGAGAGGTGGAGGGATACTTGGGTGACCACAGTGCATCAGGCCCACGAGAAAACCAGTTCAACAAGAGCAAAAGGATGGAGGTGGGGACAATGGAACTGACAAATGATCAGAACTGACATTGAAGGGGCCTCCCTGGCGGCGCAAGGGGTTAAGACACAATCTATGAAGCTGTCTGCAGCCACTGCAGCACGAGTTGGATCCCAGCCAGGGAGCTACCCACATGGTGCAGCAGACCTCTCCTGACTCGCCCGCTGCTCCCCTCAGCAGTGTACTTTGGTCATCTGCCTGTTCTGTTCCCCACTTTGTCTCTGGTGAATCCTCTCACCCCCTGCACCTCTGGCCTATACCCCAGTTCTTGTATACATAAATAAATAAATCTTTTTTAAAAAATTTTTTAAAAAAGAACTGACCTTGAAGAAAAGTCAATAGTGTACGAAGAATGTGAATAGCAATGACCAAAATTACAATAAACTCTATATAAATAAAAAGAACCTAGGAAACCTTAACTTTAGGAAAAACAAAGAGTTGTAGAAGAAAACATAGACAATCAGAGTACACTACATGGCTCAACAGAAAAGAATGTGGGCACAGTCTTAATAGTGTACACATTGACTATTGATGAGAAGGGAAATAGTGTGAAGATTCAAGAGAGCTAATCCCCAACTAGAAGGTTAATAGACATACCTAAAATTGATGTATCAAGAAATACCAGAAAGAATATTCTTTAGAAATGCAGTGATAGAGGGCCTTCCTGGTGGCACAAGGGGTTTAGACACAACCTATGAAGCTATACACAGCCATTGTAGCACGAGTTCTATGGCAGGGAGCTACCCATATGGCACAGCAGACCTCTCCTGTCTCACCCGCTGCTCCCCTGAGCAGTGTATTTCAGTCAATCTGCCTGTTCTGTTCCCCGCTCTGTCTCTGGTGAGTCCTCTCACCCTCCCGTACCTCTGGCCTGTACCCCAGCTCTTGTACACATAAATAAATAAATATTTAAAAAAAAAAAAGAAATGCAGTGATAGAATCTAATTTCTAATATAAATTACCCCTGAAAAGTAGCACTGAAGAAACTGAGGAGGACTTGAACCTTTGCTCAACAAGTTTCTGTACCTTCAGAGTATTTGATGACAAACGTATATTATTATTTAACAATTTAAACCAAGAAGATAGTTTTAAATACTGAAAACAATGAAAAGAAATATGGCGATAAATACGAAAAGAAACAGCTGGAAGAGTTGAAAGGGTTATTTCTGAGAAGCTAAGGGAGAAAAGAAAGACTAGTAGACTGCTGGTTTTCATTATAAGGCTTTCAATAGTCTTTGACTTTTTGAATTTTGTGTATGAATTACTTTGGAAAAAAAGTTAAAAAAATAAGTGACCACAAAGAATAACAAACCAAGAGGAAAAAGTAGGCAAAATATACAAGCAAGAAATTCACAGAAGAGATGCAAATGTTCTCCAAACACATGAAAAAAAAAACAACTCAGAGTCCTGCTCCACCCACCCAGTGATGCAAGAAAACACCAGGCGTGGTGGCCATTGTATCACGACCTAGACAAGTTCTCATTATGTCATTAAGGGGGGGGCGGGTACAGTTTACAAAACAATATGATGGTGTGACTTTAAAGCAATTTAACAAATTTTCTTTGTGCACCTACTCTATGGTGAGCACGTAAGCATTTCTTTAAATGTCTGAAATGGATGCTCAGATGTTTAACCTGATCTTGGTGACTGGCTAAAGAAGAGGAAGATATTGTTTTGTTTTGTTTTTATTATAATTTATTTATTCATATATATTTTACATCATTGTTCATTTTTCTACAATGTCTGCTTTCTTTTCTCAGGTGTGTCCCCATGGAATTCCCACCACCTGTGCACCATCACCATAGTCCCTACTGCTCTTCCCACCTTTATTTTGATCCCTCTCCCTTCCCCTCCCTGCAGAATGTCTCTGATTTATAGTTGCCTGTTTGTTTTTGTTTTGTTTTGTTTTTTATTGTTATTATTTTTTCCCTGATCCTTTATTTGTTTCCCCTATATTCCTGCTATAAGTGAAAACATCTAATATTTTTCTTTTTCCTCCTGACTTATTTCACTGAGCATAATCCTTTCTAGTTCCATCCATGTTGTTGCAAATGGCATAAGTTTATCTTTTCTGATTGCTGAATAGTATTCCATTGTGTGTATATACCACACCTTCTCCATCCAGTCATCTATTTTTGGGCATTTGGGTTGTTTCCAAATCTTACCTAAAAATATGGAATTCTTCACAAATTTGCACGTCATCCTTGCTCTGGGGCCGTGCTCATCTTCTCTGTACCATCACAATTTTTGCATATGTGCAGCCAAAGTGAGCACTGAAGAGAAACATTTTTAAGACTTTTTCCTTATTAGTTTAGTCTCCAATTTTAAAATAGCTAACATAACTTGCTAAAGAAAAAAAATAGGGCCTCCCCGGTGGCGCAGCGGTTGAGCACTGGGTTGCGAAGCCGCCTGCAGCCTCTGCAGCGCCGGTTCGATCCCCGGCTGCTCCCCGGCCTCCGGAGGAGGGTCCCACATGGTGCGCAGACCTCTCCTGCCGCCCGCTGCTCCCCTCAGCAGTGTACTTCGGTCCTTCTGCCTGCTCTGCCCCCTGCTCTGGCTCTGGTGAATTCTCTCACCCTCCCGCGCTTCTGACTGTACCCAGTGCATGTATAAATGAATGAATAAATAAATAAATAAAATATAAAAATAAATAAATATCAAAACAAATGAAATACCTATTTTGAACTCCCCCCAACATGAGAAATACATCAGTAATACTGGTTTGGATAAGCACCCAATTACTAACTTGCTAAGACACTGTACAGAGTAAATCACATTCAGTGCCCAACAGTGTCTGGCACATAGTAGGTCTTCAAATGAACAAGTGAATCATCAAAATTAAGCAGGGGCTGGTGGGATATTGTAGGTAGGGGGCACGCAGTATGACTGTGAGCTTCTGATATGTAAATGGACACATAACTTCACTCAGACGTGCTGACAGGACTAGAATGAGCAAAGTATAGAAAGCACCAGCCACATCGCCAAGCACTTTGTAAGTGTTCAGAAAATATTAACTATTAGAAATGATAGTAGTATAAGTAGTAGTGATTATTAGTTAAGAGTTAAGGTACCGGGTCTCCCCTGGTGGCGCAGCGATTGAGCGCTGGGTTGTGAAGCTGCCCACAGCCTCTGCAGCACCAGTTCGATCCCCGGCAGCTGGAGAGGGTCCTACCTCTCCTGCTGCCCGCTGCTCCCCTCAGCAGTGTATTTCGTCGGTCGGCCTCCTCTGCTCCCCGCTCTGGCTCCGGTGAATTCTCTCACCCTCCCGCACTTCTGACTGTACCCAGTGCTTGTGTAAATAAATAAATAAATAAATAAATCTTGTTAAAAAAAAAAAATGAGTTAAGGTACCATTACGAGTAACTAGGACACTAGAAATTCCATCACTCGCTGCCCATCATAAACCTCTTTGTCCCCCCTGTCAATGGTCAAAACCTGCAGGGCAGTGCTGCCTGAGTCCTCCCCCAGCCTAGCCACCAGGTCCCAGGGGTTCCACGCCAGCATGGCCGCCCCACCTGATAAATGTGGGGTCACTAGGTCCTGGAAGAGAGAAAGAAAAGGGCACATGTAGAGGATGCAAGACTGATATTTTTTTAAGGGACTGTCTGCCATGAAGCCCCAGTTTAGAAAATAGGCCATAACCAAAAAGCCCACAAATTGTTAAGTGTACAGCTGGATGAATTGTCACACACTGAACATCCCATGTAAACAGCCTGTAGATTTAGAAGGAACATCTTCAGAAGTTCCTCTCATGCCTCCTTTCTGACATCTAACGCCATAGATTCATTTTGCCTGACATTGAAATTTATACAAATGGAACTTTATACAAAGGGAAGTTTTTTGTGTGTCTGGTTTCGTTAGCTCAGCATTTTCTGTCTGTGAGATTCGCTCTGTAGTTGTGTATAGTTGTAGTTCTTTCATCCCCATTGCTGCATGACATGCAGTGTATAAACTGCATCTTTTTAAGAAATCCATTTTACTTCTGATAGATAAAATTGAGTTGTTTCCAATGGGTAGCTGTTTGAATGGCGCTGCCCTGACTATTCTTGCAATGCCTTATGGTGGATGCAGTGGATGCATTTCTTTTTTTTTTTTTTAAGATTTATTTATTTATGCATTCAAGAACTGGGGTACAGGCCAGAGGTGTGTGGGGGGTGAGAAGATTCACCAGAGACAGAGTGGGGAACAGAACAGGCAGACTGACTGAAATACACTGCTGAGGGGAACAGCAAGGGAGTCAGGAGAGGTCTGCTGCACCATGTGGGTATCTCCTTGGCCGGCTATTGAACTCGTGCTGCCGTGGCTGCGGATCGCTTCATATGTTGTGTCTTAACCTCTTGTGCTACCAGGGAAGTCCCAGTGGATGCATTTCTGACTCAGTTCTGATTACCCATCCCTTTACTAGATACCACCAAATAGCTTTCCAAAAGTGTTTAAACCAATTTATATCCCCACCATCCTCACAAAAGAATACTGGTTGCCCTATGCCTCCACTCCCATTTCGTATCAAGTGATACTATTTATGTATTTATTTATTTATTTGCTCAAAAGAAAAGACTTTATTTAACAATATTAACAAGTGGAGGGCGGATTAAGGGACTAGTAAAGGTGACCTGCCCTTGGACTAGCCATGGCAGGAGCCATTACATAGGCCAAGGGAAGAAACAGCATCCCTGCAGCCATGTAAAAGTGGGAGACACAGTGGGGAAGTCCTAGACAGGGAGGGAGCCAGCTGTTTCAGCAGCTGCATCACCAAAGCAGGGCTAGAGGGTGGCACCGTGACCTCTCTTCTCCTACTGGCCTCCAACCTCTGGTCTATACTCCCCATTGGCCAAACCTGACCTGAAACCCAAGCACAGGGAATCCCAAGTGGCAGCATCCATGGGATTACCCTCCCAGGCCACAGAGATGGGCAGAGAATGGGTCTGTATCAGTAGAGAAGAGAGAAAAGCCAACACAAGATCCATCTGGCCCCACTCTCAGTGCTGAGGTTCTGTGAAGTTGACTCTATGCAGGGCTGGATCACATGACTTAGACTAAGCCAATCAGTGGCTTCTGGCTCCAGTGGCTGTTTCATGAATGGGCACATGACTCAAGTCAGCCAATCAAGGTGAAGGGGACTCTCTTCCAGGGAATTTTATTGGGGCTATATAGGAATGTGCCCCCTGTTTTGCTGGAATTAGCACATGGAAATTTTGCTGGAATTAGTACATGGAAATCAAAAGAAATTGTGCAAAGGCTGAGGTGGGAGCTGGCACAGGAGTTGGAGCGAAGGAGGGCCTCATCCTGGATTTCAAGTGGTACTTTTTAAATGAATACTAATTAGCATATTTTAAATTCAACTCCAATACTAGACAACCATGGGCATGGACGATCTTCAGAGGTGCCTGTGATGTGTCATCAAGTGACATAAGTGAATTGCAGGCCAATGTATATAACAAGACACCATTCACGTGTATGGATTGTATATGCACAGATGTGGAAGTAGAGGCCAAATTCAGAAAAGTCTCCTTTGATAGTGGTCCCCTCTGGAGAGTTTCACTGGAAAGCATGATTTTACACCATGAGTTCAAGAATAAGTTCTGCTTTTGATTTTTTTTCAGTATTTTTTTAATGTGAAAAAAAAAAAAACCCGCATAAATAAAATTCTCCATCCCCCATGCCCTGTAACCACCACACACCACTCCATTATCCAAGGCTGGCAGCCTGACCCTGTCTTTCTTGTTATTCCCAGCATTCTCTCTTGCTCTGGAATTACCCTGGGCAGGGCCTCCAGGACAAGTCTCCCGGGCACTGTAATTTCCCTGGCTGCGGTGTGTCATTAGAAGATCTGGTGCTGATGACACGAGGCCTGGACGCAGCAAAGATTCCAGACCCTGATGGGACAGGACAGCCAGGCCACAGAGCAACGTCCTGGCAAAGATTACCCTGGAGTCTCGAGCTGTCTCAGTGGGATGTGAGTCTCTGGATGTGTCATAGCCTTGAGTAAAGAACCCCCGAACATTGCTCTTTTGAAGTTGCAGCCTTCAGCTGGGGCTCAGTGCTCAGAGCAAGGGCTGCGAATTAGGCCGACCTGAGCTCCTGCTCTCCAACTGCTAGTCCTCCCTGGGCCTCCATCTCAACTATAAAATGGGATAATGACAACCCTTCCCTCGGAGATAGCAACAACACCTGGCACAAACTTAGCCTAGCCTTCAGTAAATACAGGCTGTTATCATTATTAGGGCGATGGTGTGGCCGTCGCTGTTACGATCACTCTGAGAGGTCATCTTTTGCATTCATGTTTTGGATGAAAAATATAAGAATGCACTTTTCCTTTTTTACAGATACTACAAAACAAGCTCAAAACCAATTTTCTTAGGGAAATTTGATTTCTCTTGGAACTTGAATGCATATATTTTGCTTGGAAAGCTAGTAGTCAGTCAACACTGATTCATCTAGGGAATGCTTATCAAGGGCCACTATATACTGGGCACTCTTCTAGATCCTGGGAATAGTGCAGGGATCAGATCTTACCCTCTGCTAGGGGACTTAGGCACTGGCCAAACCAATAAACACGTACAATAAAATGCTAAACATGTATATCATACGATTCATATTATGTCAGAAAGTGCTGTGAAGAAAATTGTAACAGGCTAAGCAGAGCCACAGTTCTACTCTGAAACTTTCTCCATGGCTGAGGAAGGAGCCCAAGAGGACATGGGTCTAAGTTGACACTGGCCTGGGCTAGACCTGTATCTTGCTCCTGTGGAGATGGATAGTTTGGGGAGGAGGGTGGAGCGAGGGCTACAAGTGGTTGGTAGGGGGTGAACACAGGTGCAGACAAAAGGGGGTTTTTGTGAGAGAGCAAGGAGACTGTACTCTGGCAACCATTGGAGGAGGGGCCCACATCAACTACAGCAGATATTTACTGAGCCCAGAGCTACAAGCTCGGATCTGGACTTTGTGCTGTGAAGGCATCTAGTACATATGAGAGTTGGTGCCTGACCCTCAAGGAGCTCCTAACCATGATGGGGACACAAGACCACAAAAGAAGCCAGGCAGATCAGGCCAAGCCCTGAGTGCAGGGACCAGCTGTGGATTCATCTGGATCGTCAAACCGCCAGATCACAGTTGGTTAACAAGTTCTTGTTGCACACTCATGTGGTCTGCTCAGGACAGCTGGCTTTCTCAGGCCGAGATTCGGGAATCTAGACTGTTTCCTCTTTCTGCCTCTGTCATCTCAAAACCTATCTTCCAGGTCCTGTGGCAGAGGGAGAAGTTTAACCCAGAAG